GAAAAATCTAAACAAGTTCCGTTCTACTAGGCATGAATTTCATCTGATGTGCTGGTTGTAGCTCTCACACAACTGAGAACAGGAACATCAGCTGCTTTGTTCTTTTTGTGTTGTGTTTGTGGAAATCCTTCCCCCCCCAAATCAGTGGAGCAATGATGAATCCTTAGCTTACTCACATCCCTAATTTCCATCAGCAGACTCCACCTAATTCTTTGAAGTGTCTAAACACTTTTGATGCTGGCACTGACACCCACAAGAATTTAACAATATCTTGTTCCATTCGTCATGAAATCCAAATCCAAGTTTACAGGGTACCTATGTCTTCAGATACATCTGTGCAGCTGTAATCTTCTCTCTGCCCCATCACCCAAAGCCTCTCCCAAAAGATCAGCCTCAAGGTATTCACACAGTAACCAAGAGACTTTCTTTGGGACACAAAAAGGAGTTCCTGAGTATGGCATAATTTCCTAAGGCTTTTGTAAATACAAACGATGATATCCACAGAGCCCTTTATCACCTTGAATAAACAAGTAATACTTAATGCATACCAGAGTACAGGTGAGGGCTAGATGGGGTAAACATACACCTGTGTAAAGAAGTTGAGACCTGTCTGCCTGCTGAGTTCATCTAATCATAAGACTTGCATTGGATTACAGGTGAATTCTTATTTATGAGAGCATAAAGAATTCACCAGTGCTGCCAAATTCCATCAGTAGCTTGCTGTTATCTTACCCGAAAGCCCCCGCTCATTTTTTAAAACTGTCTTACACTTCATACACCTTATTTCTCACATAAATGTTTCTGGATCAAGTTTTTGAATGGAACTGGTTAATAAGCAAATATATGCAACACTTCTGTCATGACAGGTTCATTTTAGAAAATTAACCTCCCAGATCAACTTGACATATGGATGACCTGCAAAAGCCTATATGAAATGGAGAGAAAATAGCAATCACAGCTAATAAAGCCACACAGAGTGACCAAGCACAGCTGAGAGATTTATTTTTTTCTCCAGGTATAGTAAAGTGCAGGTTCTAACATTTTACCCTGGGTTTTTTATGCTTTTTTTGGGCTACGTTTTTTTGTTGGTTTTTGTTTGATTGGTTTTGCTCTGATTTTCTGGGTTTTGGTGTTGGGTGGTGGGTTTTTGTTTGGCATGTTTCAGGTTTTTAGTTCTTGGTGGTGGTGGTTTTTGTAAAAATAGGATAGGCTGGCTGTATATCCAGAAAGGACAAACAGAAAATCATCTCTGTGGCAGAAGTTGATTTCTAAGGGTCCAGACATATCAGCAGAGCTTCCACTGGCATCAGGTGACAGCACTGACACTGTTCACAACATCTCCTAGATGTAATATCCCTGTCACTGTGACATGCAGAAGAACTGCTAACCCTTAAATAAAGGGCCAAGCCTTGCTATGAATGATGCTAGAGCAAAGTAAGCATTACAAAAAGCAAGATCACACTCATTCAGCTTCTGTAGAGTTTTTTTTAGATCCTTTTTCATCTCCCATTTCTGCAATAACCCTGAAGTTCTAAAGCAAGCAACCCCATCAAGTAGCATTAACTCCTGCTGCACTGAGGACCACAATGGCAGATAATATCATCCTGACAATGACGTCACATGTGTGCAGTGATTTTTGAGGTGGTCCACAAAGCCTTATGTAGCCTTATGTGGATGGACTGAGAGAAGCTAGTCTTCCTTTTGTAAGGAATCCCAAGGACTTAACTAAAGTGCTTATTGGCTCAGAGAGACCTAAATTGCTATTGTCACGTGGTGCCATTCAAAGGATGATGGGAAGTCATATGATGACTCCTGCTGCGTCTGTCATTCATCCAACTTGCATGAATTGGAAGCAAGTCCACAGCTTGCACTGCCTTCATCAGAAAAGGAAGATCAACTTCTAGATATCACAGACTGAACGGAGAAGCGCAGAAACCATGCAAGTGTCTCTCTCACTAAACACAGACAGCATCCTGCAATGTAAGCATTGTTTGGCAGCAGTTCCAGCTTTCCAGAGAGGCAATGTTTTCTTTGGGTAGGCTGCTCTTCTCAGCAACCAGCATACATGGTCTCAGAGCCCAAGTGCAACCCCTAAAAACATACAGAATTGTCTACAGCCCTACTAATAATACAGGTGACACTGTCAAGATTTTTAAAAAAAAAGAAAAAAAAAAAAAAAGGCACACATGATCTCATAAGGGAATACTTTCTCTCTGTTGGTTCATTAGGTACACAATAGTAAAAACCAAAAATGTCTTTTGTGTGCATTTATGATTGCAGCCAACAGGTCTATGTTCTGAATCACTATTTGAAATGCATTCCCACATTGAAGTGTATTAAGAAAACATTATGGGGTCTCCTGTTAAACCAGCAAACTGCAGAGTTGAGACTGAAATTGCACACGATATACTTCATTATTTCTAGGTATGTACTGAATAGCTTGTAATCATACTCACTGTTCCAAAAACTTTTGATACATAACCAGAGGCTGTTTTGGAGGCCTAGAAAATGTATCACTGCAGGAGGCCTGGGAACTTGGAAACTGAGACCAGCTGTCTTCATTTAGACCTCATGCTTACTCTTTATTTTTTATTTTAATTTTAAAGGCTAGCCCATAATTTATCTGCCTTCGTTTTTCAGAACCCCACGTGTAACCTGCTAAGCAGAGTGCTAAAACCTTACTAGTGCTTTCTGAATCCAAGCTCTGCTTATGACAGCTGTGGTGGCTCCAGTCTGTTGCTTCAACATCCCCTGTGACAGCAGAATAAGAATACACAGCACAGGGGCAGAGAGGGGGATCAAACTAGTTCCAACACAGAAAGACATGCCTCAGAGCATCAGAAAAAACAAACAAACAAACAACAACAAAAAAAAAAACAAAACAAAAAAAAAAAAAAAAAAAAAAAAACAACAAACCAACCACCAAACAAAACCAAACCAAACCAAACAAGAAATCACCCCCAACACTCTTTTGGTTTAGTAAATCCAAGGAGTTGGCGGGGGGGAATATCATTTTTAAGCCTATGAACCTATTCTACCTTTTTTCTGTCCAGGTTTCTCTGGGTTGATTTTACCCAAGGAAGGGATTCTCTAGCAGAAGCTTCCAGGAGTTCCCCAGACTTCACTGGATCCAGTTTTGTGTTCGATGAATGCTACTGCACTGTGTCCACAAGACTGAGAAGCCTACTACTGACCTCAACTCTTTTCAGTGCCCTCCTTAGGCCCTCAGTGGTAACAGAGAAGCACATTTCATTTCTCATCCACAGATGTACACAGCATCGGTCAGCACCGTGAAGGGACTGGAATCAATCCGTAGGGAGGTCTCAGCCAGTCCAAAGTGCTGGGCTCAGCCCTGCTGCCTTTATGTAAAGTCAGAAATATCTGTCAGTATAAACTGACAGCCCTTTTCTGCGCTGAAAGGGCTCTGCGTAACTCAGTAGTGCCGCCATCTGTAAAATGAATACATCACATTTCCTTTACAGGATGGTGTGAAAACTAGAGCAGGAAAGAGAATTACAATAGGAAGTTACAATTAGGATCTGCGCCTTTTTTGCAGTTTTGTTTGGGTTTTTTTTAAATATTATGGTAAATATACTGGAATCAATTGCAGAGTGCTTCCATTTTCAAGGCTAAACCACCACAGCACTGTTCCACCCTATCTTATTTCTGCCATACATTTAACCCTTTGTGTGCTGCTTCTCCCATAGAAATCCCTAAATATCCCAAGAAGCACACAGTTCCCAGAATATTTGTCAGGCAGCTGAAACCACAAGGTGTTAGAAGCTTCATGAGGAAACTTGCTTACATATGTTGTGCAACCACATTTCAGGCAGCATTTCCTCTGCAAATTCTGGAGATTAATTAGCCCACCATAAAAGAATTAATATCAACCCTAAAATTATGGGGTGGAGGGGAGTTATGATTCTACTACAGTTAGGAGAGTTGAAGGAAAGCAAAAAAATCATGGCTGTATGCCTGATAAACTTCCTAAGCAAGCAGAACCAGGAAATAAGATCACTATCAGTTTTGACTTCCAGAATGCCCTTTGCAGTCACTTTTATTATTTTTCTTTAACATGAGAGGCAACCTAACAGAGAAATCCAGGATCCTGCTGCCCCATAAAGAAGGCAAGAAACAGGACTATTCTATCTAAACACAGCACTAAGACCAGGGTGACCATTCTGGGCTCATTTTCAGTAGTGTTATGAAGTTTAAATGGAAGCAGATTGAACTTAAATCATAAAAAACAAAACCTCCCTCCTTGGACTGCATGTGGGCACAAACTCTTCTTTGTGCAAAACTAAAGATATTAAAAAGCCAATGACATAGTACCATTCTCCCTTTAAACTGAAGGATATTAATCTAGTTATATTTACAAGTGGCAAATTAAACTTCCGCAACACAGTTCCCTGAGCATACCTACATGAACGTGGGGGAGTAACAAAGCTGCCTGTGCCAGAGCATCATTCTGGTCAAGTAAAGCACTGGCAAGCACAGCACCCAGACAGCTTTGCTACCATGTACAAGCTGGTGGAGTCAGGAGGCATGTGGCCATATTCATAACACTGTTTTAGACCAAACATAACAAGCACCCCATGAAAACTAAGCAGGAAAACTCCAATACTGCCAATGTTCATGAGCATCAAATATATTCTCAAACAATCAGTCTGCACCTTTCTCTACTTAAAGCACACATGGGAATGCATTTTTCAAGGCAGGAATCTCCAACTTCGTATTAAATCAAAATACACTTCTCTAAATGTTTTTTCTCTTGTATCCTTCAGCTCATGATTTGCCCTTGTAGAATTCTGGCCAGAGTTTGTATATGCTTTGCTTATTTAAAAAAAAAATCAACAAATTTATGGGTTTCAAGAAATCTCTCCTAAATCAAATACTCTTTTTCAAATGTTCCACCTGAAGTTTTCCTGTAAAATACCTCATTTTCCTATTCAGAATAATTTTTAAGCTGATAAAATGATTGTGATCTCACGGGTACTCACAGAAATTTTTCCAGTACGATTGGCTTCCTCCCTTTCTGCCAGGGCCTGCAAGAAGTTATTTTTCAGTTCTTTTCCTACACTTGCTAGTGACCTGGGGGGGGGGAAAGTTATGCTTATTATTATTAATTATTGCCACAGACTTTGGATTCACTGTTGGATTAAGTGTTCTGTAAATATAAGGAAACAGTCCTCACCCTATTGTAGCTAATTTGTCTACTGCCTGTTCTGCTTTTGCAAACCCTTAAACTAGACTTCAAAATTCATCACTAATGCAGATGTACAATATAATAGTAGTTTGTCAAAAGCTGACTTCTACTAACACACATTTTCAGTTACATATCCAGAGTAATCTAAGCACTTATTTTTTATCTCCAGAATTATGGCCAAAATCGTGTTTACATCAAATTTTAATAGTGTACCAATATAAAGTTACACAGATTTAATACCAACTTCTTCAGCCAACAGCACCACTACACAGACTGCTTGGTGTGGTAGGGTCAATGTAGCTTCTCTATCCTTAAGTACAAAGCATGAAAAGAAGAACCAGTTTTGCTCCACAAAAACTTGCAAAAAAAGAAAAAACCAAAAACCACAAGAAAGGATACCATGCATAAAAAATTACTTCTTAGCCTTTGAACACAGTGCACTAGAATTCAAACAGTCATTAAGAACAGAAAACACGTGTCAGATGGACAAAAGCACTGAATATGGGACAAACCCTTCAACAAAAATGTGATACTTCAAAATGGTTTCTACAAGCCTCTTAGCCTAATCTAAAGCCCTTCTCTATCTACAGGGGTCATTGCACTCACTCCAGTGTACATTGCAAGCACAAAAAGGAATCAGAGACTTCCCAAATCCTGCACTGAAGTGGCTTCACAGGGAACTTTTCATCTTTTAATGTCTAAAGTAACAAATACTGACTGGAAAGAGCTCTCGGGCAACCCAAAGCGAAATGGTGCCTCTGAGTGGAGCACAGATCAACTCAAAAGGGGAAGGATTATTATATCCCTCACTATCTCTGTGGGATTATTTCAATAAAAAGCCGTAGCATTTGTCAATATACGTAAACAGAATACAGCATCAATAAAAATCTTTCTATCAAGTGTATCTATCAAATGTATCAAGTTTCAAATAAAAGAGTGCCACAAAACCTGAAAAAGTCCTTTGGATAAATTTTTAAATATAGACATTCATGGCAATATCCTGAAACAGTGAAAAGCTCAGCTCAGTCTGATAGCGGAACTCAGAGAAGAGGTTGAGAGATTAAGAAGTATTAGGGAGTGTGAAGGGGAAATTGACTGGAAGAGTAACACCCTCGAATCCCTGAAGCAACAGGAGCTAATGGAAGCTCCAAACAAGGCAGGTAATCCCTCAACCTCTTGCTATCAGGCAGAAGGAGGGGTCCTAAGAGACGAGGGAGGCTGGAAACAAGTCCCTGCTCAGGGAAGCAGGAAAATCCTTTCCCCACCTCCCTCACCCTCCATGCTGCCCCTTCACAATAGATTTGGGGCCCTGGAACTTTTGAACAAAGAAGAGAATGAGGAAGAAAATGAGAGAAATTAAGAAGACCAAGGTCCACCAAGGCCAGGTCACTTCAGACCAGGTATTAAAACCAGCTCTGAAAAGAACCCCAGAAGAGTCATTGTAGTGGCTGACTCCACTCTAAGGGGTGTCGAAAGCCCCATATGCAGACCAGACCCGCTTCATAGGGAAGTCTGCTGCCTCCCAGGGGCCCGCATCAAGGACCTCACAGCAACACTCCCTACCCTAGTGAGACCGAAGGATTACTACCCTCTCCTGGTTTTTCAGGTAGGTAGTGATGACATCACCAGGAGAAGGCCTAAAGCAATGAAGAGAGATTTTGGGTCCTTGGGGAAACTGCTTAAGGGGTTGGGGGCACAAACTGTGCTCTCCTCCATCCCTTTGGTTGGGGGGATGGATGAGGAAGATTACAGGAGAATTCAGCAGATGAATGGGTGGCTTCAAGACTGGTGTTACCATCAGGGCTTTGGATTCTTCAATCATGGGTTGGTATACAGGGCACCTGATCTTTTGATATTAGACGGGATGCACCTGTTCTGGAGGGGGAAGGGGATTTGGGGGCAGGAGTTAGCTGGGCTCATTGACAGAGCTTTAAACTAGATTTGAAGGGGTAAGGGGGCAAAATATCAGCCCATCTGAAGTGCACATATACCAATGCACACAGCATGGGTAACAAACAGGAGGAGCTTGTAGCCGTGATGAAACAGGAAAATTATGATGTTGTTGCTATTACAGAAACATGGTGGGATGTCTCCCATGACTGGAGTGTGCCAGTTGATGGCTACAAGCTCTTTAGGAGGGACAGACAAGGAAGGAGAGGTGGTGGGGTGGCTCTGTATGTTAAGGACTGTTACAATTGCTTTGAGTACAAGTGTATTGAAGACAAGGTGGAGTGTCTTTGCATTAGAATCAGGGGGAAGGCCAACAGGGAGGTGTTGTAGTAGGAGTCTGCTATAGGCCACCCAACCAGGACAGAGAGACAGACGAGATATTTTATAGGCACTTAGGTGAAATCTCACGATCGCTTGCCCTTGTGGGAGACTTTAACTTCCCAGACATCTACTGGAAATACAACACGGCAGAATGAGACCAGTCCCGGAGATTTCTAGAATGTGTGGGAGACAACTTCCTGATGCAACTGGTGAGTAAACCAACCAGAGAAGGTGCCCTGCTGTAGGTGGGAACTGTTCTAGGCAAACGGTTGGACTAGATGATCTCCAGGGTCCTTTCCAACCAAGATGATTCTATGATTCTATGAAAAGCCTGCACCTGAGCTTCAAAACTCTGCTGTAGAGCTATCAGGTCAACCTCTGGCCACTTTACCAGCTGTTATCCAGAAATACATTAGTTCAACACTGTTTCAGAAGTGCATCTGCTGCACTGTAAAAATAAAAAATGAAAGACTAACATATGGACTAAAACATCTCAATTATTTAGGTGTAAAAGACAGATAAGAAATGGAGTATCAAATTTTCCTTTTCCTGTCCCAGTTAAGAATTCTATATTCTGAAAGTCTTCCTTTCTCTGACAGGTTAATACTAAATCAACAGAAAATTCATGTTTAACAACATTTCTATCCAACCTCACTTGAAGTTTGTGGCTCTTATTTTGAACCAGATGAAGGGTGTGGGTGTCTGAAAGATTATGTGGTTTTATCCGCTTAAATCTCATGTTCCAGTAAGAGACTTCACCTTTCCTTAAAAACGCTTGTCTTCCTCCTGTCCTTCAATCACCAGCAAAATAATCACTGACCCACTTGCAGAATGCTAAAATGTATAAAACTTCTTTTTTAGTTAATTTTATTACTTCTGCATTGGAACACGCTGAGCCATGTCTGAAATGAAGCTGCACTGTTTCTGAAAAATATGAAGTATCACTGGGTGGCCCTGTCTAAGACAAAAGGGTCACACAATGTTAAAACACAAAGCTAAAATATCACAGGTGTAAGGCAGCAGCTTTTTACAATCCTCAAGATAATTCTAAATGGGTTTTATTGTGCCTTATTTGGTGTTGACTACTTGGGGTCTAACTTCTGAAAGATGCAAGATAAGATAAGACATCATCTGATATGTATGTATTATCTATACACCATTCTCAGTAACAAAGGCCCCCTCGCTCTGTAAGAAGATGCTTAAACATCTACAAAATGAAAGAAAAAAAAAAGTTGGGATTTGACTAAAATAAATTCATTCTCCTATGGCCTGCATGAAAAGGAATAAAAGGAATGCAACGCATCACTGTTGAAGTGACACAAAAGCAAGATCACTTGGAGCAGAGCTTAGTATTAACTGGCTGCTTTTTTGTAATAAAGAGGGGGGTGGGACAGAAGAACCCTAAAAAACTATCACATAAAATTATTATTGAGTTTTATCTGAGAAATGTATGAAACATTTCTTCTTTTAGAGAAACATTTTTAGAAATATAGCAACATCATTCTACCCTCACAACAACATCCCTAATGGCCTAAAAGTATTAAAAAATGTTCATGGGATGAGTGAGTGCAGAAAAAACAACAAAGAGATGTGTCCTTTGTGTCAGACTTAACATCTTTGAAATCCTCTGTTTTAAATATATACTATTACTGGATAAAGAATAACACACAGAAAGTATCTCTATTAAATTTGAATCACAAAGGAAAGGGAAGTAGGCTCAAGCTATTCCAAGGTAAACCTTTGTAAACTTACAAAACAAGAATATTATAGAAAGAACAAGGAGCTTAACACTTAAAGCCTGAATTCTAAAACTCCAGGATCTGGAAGCATCCCCCAGCATCTAAGCAAGTATTTCCTGAAGCAGGGACAAAGAGCTACTTGGTAGACCTTCCACTTTTTTAACTGGAAAGGATTTACTCCTTTATTTCCTGCATGAATGTGTATGTCATTTGACTCCTGGTCTTTTTCAATTCTTTGCCCCTTGGGATGTGCATTCTCCACCTCACTATCCCAGCTCAGAGATCCATCTTCCCTCTCAGGCCTTGCCCACACAGGAAAAGTGCACCTGTTTACCTTAAGGGAGATTTTCAACTAATGTAGTTAAAATTGTACAAAAGGTCACACTATTCTTAATATTGGCTTAAACCAGGCTCATTTCAGTATCAAACAATCAATTAGTAATTGACCTGACTTAAACTGTAATAAAGAATCACAAGCTTCTGTAGACGTAAGTGTGCACCAAACTGTTTTTTAAAAGTTCCAATTATACACGGTTCTCATCTGAAAGGCACCATATTCACTAGGAAGATGCAGTATTTACAGGAACATTGTATGAGTATTTGTTACTAGCCAGTCTTTGAGAAAGAAATGAGATTTTTCTCTCCCTGCCACAGCAGCACGTACATTCTCCACACTCTAGTTCACCATCGCAGCAGAAGACTAAGAAGAAAAGATCAAGGCATTCCACTTTGCAGAAGTTCCACCCGACATAAACAGGCTAAAATTTTGGGGTGTGACTAGTTAGGAATTCATGAAGGCCATGTAAATGTTTGTTTCAGCTTCCTGCCAGGTGAGATGAGGGAGTTCTTTGAGCAGGGAGGAACAGCAAGTAATT